ATAATTTTAATTTTTGTATATATGTGTGTTTGATAATAAAGTTATACATTTAAAATTTTTAAATTATGTACTCTTATCTAATTTTTTTCTAAAAATAATTTTAGCCTCTATTATATGACAGATATTGTAATAAATAGTAAGATTACAAAAAATCAAAAAGTCCCAACCCTTGGTTGAAATGGGATGCCTACAGAATAGAATCCAAGGATATTTCTTTGGATTTGATCTTTTTAATTGATTACCAGCCAGTCTTCCTACTCCTGATTTTTTGTGTGTTTTTAAGAACTCTGTTGAACATGAGAGGGAGAAAATACATTTAGTAGCATGAACTGTAGTCAGCCTGGCTGTGTGCTTGGTGGGCAGGATGAGACAGGACTTACGAAGGGCGGAGCTGCAGTCAGTTCTGACTGGAGCATCTCCATGCCTGCATCACGGTTTCTGGCCAGCTTTCCCTCCCCACTCCCAGCCCTGTGGAGAAGACCCTCATCACCTACACTGCACACACCACCTCCACCTCACCGGCAGCACAGTAGGTAACTAACTGCAGCATTGTCTAATCTCCTCTGAACAGCTGGCACTCCACTTCTACCACCTCCCAGAGCACCAGCCATCTCAGCCCAGCCCCTTCTGGGGGCCTCAGATGAGTGTGTGTTTGTGTGTGTGTGTGGGTGTGTGTGTCCCCATTTGTCTGTCAGTCCGTCCATGCCAGGTAGTTGGGTCTGCTCTTTGTGCTCACAGAACTGACTCCCACTCTTCAGGCTGCCTTTTGTTTGTTTTATAAGTATTCATGTGAATAGATTGTCACCTTAAATTTTAGTCTCCCTCCCCCCAGGACTGAGGATTGAACTCAGTCAGGACCTGGTGCTTGGAAGGGAAGCACGGTGCCACTAAGCTAAGTCCCCGACCCAAATTTTAGTCTTAATTAAGAAAAAAAGGACAGTTTTAAGCACCTGGAGTTCTTGATACTTCATTACCAAAATCCCATTGTAGACTATAAATAGTCATTAAAAAATTATAAAATTTAATCCCACCACTCAGGAGGCTAAAGGAAGAGGATTTTGGTTTTGAGGCCAGCCTGGACTACATAGTGAGGCTCTGTCTCAGAAAATGAAAGCAAAAAAGTATAAAATGATACAAGAAAAATGTTTAAATGAAAAATATCCTGCTTATGCTTCCTCAAGTGTTCTTTGAGTTGATGTGAACCAAGTAGTACCTGGCTCACATCAACTCCTAACTGTTTAAAACAAGACTCCCCCAAACTTCCTCCCCCCGGCTTACTGTGTGCACAATGCATTCTGTGAGATTATTACAAATCCACAATCCCTTATCTCAGTTCTCAAATCCAAAAAAATTCTGAAAATCAAACATTCTGTAACTAATCTATCAGCAAAACCAGACAGAACCAGAGACCTTATTTATATTCTTTGATTTTTCTGCTCTCCTGGAACTCTTGTATGGTTTGGTCTGAAAATATTAATGTATCTGATTACAGGGTTCTGCCTTAAATAATTCACATATATGGTCTATGTATAATACTATATTGCCTTTCTAAATTTAAAAAAAAATCTGAATTCTAAAACATGTCTGCGTCCCTGGGGTCATGGGCATATGTAAGCAACGCCAAGGGGTACAAGAGGACACTTTAATATTACATTTTTTTTCCTTTTCCAGTACTGGGGATTGAACCCAGGGCCTTCACCCTGAGCTACATGCCCAGCCCTTTTATTTATTTATTTAATTTAAGCTCTTTTATTTATTTATTTAGGGTCTTACTAAGTGGCTCTGGTTGGGCTCTAATTCACAGTTCTTCTCCCTCAGACTCCCATGTTAGAATTATTGTAGGCAGTTTTTAGTTTTGGTAAATTAGTTTATGTAAACAGAACACAGCAAAAAAATCAAACTTTAATTATCTGGTGACTCATTTTATCCCTAGATATAGTGGCTCTGTAATTAGGGTTAGATATAAGAAGTGTGACTATCATTGCATATATGCATTTGATTTTATGTACCCACAAAATGAGGGCTACAGTAAGTACAGTCAGCCTACCAAAGGCTGTAGCCATGATCACATATACACAAGAAAAAAAGCCTCTGAATTGGAGGTTTTACCAAAAATAAACAAAAAGTTATTACAAGCGATACACTCCCTTGTGCATTTTTGATGGGGTATGTGCCAATAGCAGTTGTATTAGTTCTTGATTCTTCTGTGTTTAAGGGAATGTAAATATACATGCCAGTGATTTTGTTTCATTTTTGGTACCAGGGATCGAACTCAAGACCTTGTGCTTGCGAGACAGGCAGCAGCACCACTGAGCTAAATCCCCAGCTCTATATGCCAGTGATTTTCAGAAGTGAAAAGTGTGATGTTTCCCATCTATCCACTCCTCTTTAAAACTATTCAAGTGAAACCACTTAACTCTCTCATGATGGCATAGAACTGACCTGTTTTCTGCATGATTGTAAACATTTTGCTTAGTTTAACCGAAATATTTTTGGCATTTTCCAGCTTACTGCAGCCATTGGTTTTACCTGGCTTCTTCCTTAAATCTCTCCTTCTCGTGTGCAGATTGTCAGCGCCTGATGACAGTGGCGGAAGGCGTCACTGCCCTCTTGTTCCCGTTCCAGTGGCAGCATGTATATGTGCCCATCCTCCCCGCCTCCCTGCTGCATTTTCTTGATGCTCCTGTCCCTTATCTGATGGGTCTCCAGTCAAAAGATGGCACTGACCGCTCCAAACTGGAGCTTCCTCAAGAGGTAACAGCGAACGCTGAAACATTTGCTGTTTGGGTTTAGCTCAAGTCTGCTTTTGTGAAATAGCATTGTCTCTGTCTGGTTGTGTCTCTTTGTCTCTCTTTAATCTCCCAAGTGTGGCTAGAGTGGAGCCTGAGCCATAGGATACTGATTATGACTCCAGCCTGTTTCTACAATGTAGTCATGAATGAAAGACTTCACAACAGGGCAGTGGCAAATTTTCACAGCCACAGATTTGTGAAGATGGAGCAATAGTAGTAGCACAGCCTCACTGCTTTACTATTCTAATAGCATTTCATTTCTTTTCCATACTCATGCTATAAACCTTGTTTTTAAGCAATAAATCCCAAGTCTAACATTTAAAAAATGATTGTACTACGTTAATTGAGGTGAAGTTGATTTTTGACCTCCATTCAAGTTAAAAGTCATGTCTTAGCAGGCAGGAGATAATGGAAGCATCACATGCTTTGCTGTTCTGTTTTTAGACCCAAGGCCAAGTGTCAGCCTGCTCTAAATGCTAACTTGGCTTGTTCAGTGAGAAAAAAATCTTGGCCCCTAGATTTTTGCCACCTTAATGTTACTGTTTTTTGTTCATTGTATTTTCAAGTGTTATTTAAGAGGAAGATAAACAAGAATTTTGTAAGGCATTCGGAATCTAAGTTTTAGGTTCTGATGACATTCAGAATTGCAGTGTAGACCCTTTGAAATGAAGTATTGGTGAGAGTGCCGCGCCTGTTAAGAAGCACAAAATGGTTAATTACATTGTATTATTAGCTATTTAATTAGCACCTTTCTTAATAAAATCCCGTATGCTGAGCTTCACTTTTTATTTGTTCCTATTTCCTATAGAGATTCTCATTTTAATAAGTGAATTTAAAATAAGACATTAAGCCACATTATACCCAGTAATGATTCTGGTAATTTTTAACTGCTTATTTTGAATGTTTCCTTACCAAAATTAACATTTTTGTTCAAAGAAAAATAGCCTGATTCAAGTGATAAAAAATATATGTTCAAACTTGTATTTTGAGGGTCTTGGCTCATGTTACTTTCCCTCCCTGTTTTACTACTTTTTTCTGTTCCTTGAATTTTCTTGTTTTCTCTTTCATTAAATTTAGTATCTTGTTTGTTCAAAGTCAATCCTTTAAATTTTTAAGGAAAAATAAATAGACTAGCCAAATGCATTGTTTTAAAGACTTAAATAACAATCTTTTAGTTTCTTGTTCAGTTATCTGATCTATTTTCTATGTTATTCAAATGATATTTTTTCAAATGATATTTTATAAGACTTTAGATAAATATTGTCCATTTTACATAAATATTGTTAGGAAATTTTTAAACGGCACCTTGGTATATTTGTTGTTGGGAAATCTTTCTATGTCTGCATGTATCGTCTGACTTTCTTTTTTGGTACTGGGAATTGAACTCGGGTCCTTGTGCTTTCAAGGCAGGTGGTGGAACCACTGAGCTAAATCCCCAGCCTCGTATCTTCTGACTCTAAAGAAAAACAAGATAAATATTCCGAAAGCCTTTGTAGTGATGTGTGATTTTTCAGTCATGACATCAATACTGTGTGTGCGAGCATGTGCACACTGGGGATGGAACCCAGGGCTTATACTAGGCCAGTGCTCTACCACTCAGCTTCACCCAACCCCTCAACACTGTTTATTTAATACGCACACCATCTTTTCATAAGGTAGAGTAATACAAAATAACCTGAATACCAGTGCTTCAGTATAAAAACTATAAATTAGATGCATCACTTTTTAGAAGAAAGACTAAGAGTACATCACTTCAGTTCAGTATCATTTTACAATGAGATGAAATAATCTGCCTCACATAATTTTGGGGAGGACATGGGTATAAAAATATCCACTGTAGATATTAAAAAGTGACTTAAGTATACTCAGTAGTGGTATTTCCCATACCCTTTCCCTGATAATTATAAAATAAGATAATGGCTAAAAATAGTGATGAGGCCTCTAAAAATAGCAAAAATGTCAAGTTTACAAAATGGTTATTTTAAGAAGGTTTGATGTTAGTTGTTAGGTAACTAACGTAAGTGCACAGACTTATAATTAACCACCCACTCCCTTTCCCTGTGATTCCCAAATGATGGGCACAGCTGCCCTTTGTTAGATTGGGTTTGGGGTGGGGAGAGTGAGGGTGGAAGGCTGTGGCCTGGAGGTTAACTGCAGAGTGGCACTTCACTTTTCTGTCATTCAGCAAGTGGGAGGCAAAAAATCAAGAGAAAGAGTGAAACCAAATGGCTTTTGCCACTCTTTTTGTCGTACCTTGCTTTGATGTTCTGAGACAATCTTTTACTTTATTTTGGTGCTAGGGATCAGACCCAGGGCCTCACACATGCTCAGCTGTGCTTCAGCCCCTGGGAGAGTATCTTAAATATTCTCCCAGCTGACTCAACTCCAGACGAGAGAGGGCAGCTCCCTTCCTAGGAAGCATGAAGGCAGTTGTGCTGCTCAAGCACTGAATGCTGCTAGCTCTTGCTTACATTTCTGAGGTCCCCAAGAGACGGAGTCTTTGTGGCTTCATTACTTGTCTCAGTTTGTACAGAACGCAGTGGAAAACAGCAAGAGAAGTAAGAGATAAGTTCAACTTTTTTTAAAAATTGCTGCTATCAATAACACAGGTTTAAGAAGTAGAGGAATATGGGCTGGGATCCCTGGTACCAAACCCCCCCCCAAAACTAAACAAACAAAAAAGAATTAGAGGAATAAATGAACTAAGAACTGTATAGAGATCAGAACAACTTTCAATTAGGGTGTAAGAAGGCTTACTCATGGAAGAGATAATTGTTTCAACCCTTGAGGCAGCTTTTCTTGCTTTTAATTGGAAGTAATTATATACAACGAAGGCTTGTGGGTGGTGTTGATCAATAGAAATGTAAAAAGATTTAGCCCCAAAAAGTGTCAGATCAGACATGGACCACATTTTTATCATGTATGTCATCCTTGTTGAGCTAGTCTGGTAGAATTTAAAATTACTGATAGTGTTAAAGAGGGAAACAATTTATCAGAACTCCCATTGTGTGGAATTGTTTTAGAGAAAGGGCTTTTTGCTTTCTGCAGTCCATTTTCATAACTCAAGTTGATATCTCCTCCTGCTGCTTGTGATCATCAGAGATCCTCCAGCCCCTTCTGAGCTGTCACTGGAGGTATGAGAGGACGTCAGGGGGCAGGCCAGGCCAGGCCAGGAGCTGAGCTCCCACCCCAGCACTAACACACTTCAGCTCAGCAGGGATCGCACGGCATAACAAGCTTTGAAATGCCACAGAACTTGTCCCTCTCATTTCTCATAGGAAGAGGACAGGGACCAAAAGGGTGACAGGCAGGTGGTAATGAAGGAGGTAGTGTGACATGAAATGGTAAGAGGTTGCTTCTTAACTCGGAGATTAGCAAGTTAGAGAATTTTTTCCATTTTTAAAGATACTGAGTCATTCTATTTGAATTATGGTGACCTACTTTCTCCTTTTAAGCATTTCAATATATCCTACTTCCTAGAGACTGAAGACACATATATAAAGATGTGGGTTTAAAGAAAACTGTAGGCAGCACTACTGTCTTTAGCAAGATAATGACATTTCAGTTCTTTTTTAGTTTGTTTGTTTTCAGTATTGGGATTGAACCCAGGCCTTCATTCATGCTAGGCAAGCACTCTACCACCGAGCTACACACACGCGCGCACACACACGCGCGCACACACACACACACACACACACACACACACACACGCACTTCATTTTTAGACAGGATCTCACTAAATTGCCCAGGTTGGCCTAAAACTTGGAATCCTCCCACCTCAGCCTCCCGAGTATCAGGATTACAAGCATGTGCTAACATATCCAGCTCATTTTAGCTGTTTATTTAGAAAAGGCGATTGACATGAGTGACAAAACTTTAAAAAGAAAAAGAAAACAAAAAATGCCATAGGCTACCAGTCTGAGAATACACACCTGGAGCGGTTGCCAGGAAGGCACCTACCATCTTGGGCCTCAATTTCTTAATCTGCAAGATTAAAAGGCTAAATTTAAAGGTTACATCAGGCTATAGGAATCATCATCGATTGTCTGGTTTTGAACAGGGGAAATGTTTTTATTAAGTTTAATTTGAACTTCAATGTAATTCTTGTTTGTTTGCTAACACGATGAGCAGGGATCAGAAGAGAAAAACAAAGACCCAGTAGTTGCTTCTCTTTCACCCCCCCTTGCAGTTTGAGATCAGAGGATGGTATGAATTCTCTTCTTGGTGACCTGGGGGAGAGGGGAGCACAGGCTAAAGCTTCCTATTTCACTTGTTCCCTACCCCAAGCTGTACAGCAGCCATCTGTGGAGTTGGGATCAGTGTTCTGTGATGGGCTGTGCCTTTGGTACCAAGCGTCCTCCTGCCCACCCTGCTCTAGAAGCTGAGTCGTCTTTCTCACTACAGCCTGTTCTGAGTAAGATATGGTGCAGGGTAGTAAAGGTAGAATAACTGCCTGGTGTTTACTATTATCAAATACCCAAGAGATAGTCAGGGTTTTATTCAGGGGCTTGGCCTCTTAAATTTTTCATATCTACTTGAAAAATAATAGTTAGGTCTATTCAAAATAAATTCCAAGTCTAAAGTGTAAGCAAACTCAGAAAACATTTCTTCTGATTTCTGTTGCCTTTTTTTCTCAAGAGTATCTTCCAAGTCGCCTTCTAATTATTCAGGGGTTAATCATTTGTCATTATCCAAGCACTTGCTTCCACTTCTTTCTGCCTCCTGCTTTTTGTCCTGTGACTTCTAAAATGGTTTTAGTATTCTAGGAAGTTTAGCTAATTTTAGGTCAAGTAACAATTTGTGGACTATCTTTCAACTGGATTGATCTTTGCCAATTTTGTCCCATTTGGGGCTACTCCAGCCCCAATTTTTAGCAGTTATTGTCAATTCTAAGTTACAGATACTGGAGCAGCGGAATGAGAAGAATGGTAAAGCTCATCTAGTGAGCATTTGACCCAGAAATGTCCATTCTTTTTTTTGGGTACCAGGGATGGAACTCAGGTCCTTAGCTTGCGAGGCAGGCAGTAGAACCACTGAGCTAAATCCCAGGCCCAAAATGTCCATTCTTAAGGTCCCATGAGTCTAGACACCTTTATACATTTAGGAATGCCTAATGGGTGCCAAACACTAGAGCTTCTGGTCAGATTAGAATAAATTTCTGAGACCAAGAGAAAGCTGTTATAGATATTAAATATGATATAAAATACCTAGGTGAATGTGCCAGCAAAATAGAGATTTTTTTAAAATTCTGAAATTCATGGAGTTGGGAGTGTGGCTCAGTAGTAGAGTATGTGCTTAGCAATGGGTCCAATCCCCAGGACCCCCACAAAAAAAATAAAACTGAACCTTGAGATAGTTAACATAAAAGTCAGTGGTTTTTTAAAAGCTTAACAAATAGAAAAACATGGTGGTGAAATTACAGGTGGTAAAATACACTCTGAGAGGCAGAGGCAGGAGGATCACAAGTTCAAGCCCACCCTAGGCAATTTAACGAGACCCTATCTCAAAATAACAAAGGGCTGAGGCCCTGGGTTCAGTCCTAAATACTGAAAGAAAAATTCTACCCATAATTTATGCTGTTTTTTATAATAATTGGCAGTAATATTTTAAAAACATAAAATTCCTGTAAACCTTTGTATTTTTTCTCTTTCAGGCTAATTTGTGTTTTGTGGATATTGACAACCATTTTATTGAGTTGCCTGAAGAATTCCCACAGTTCCCCAATAAAGTGGATTTTATCCAGGAGCTCTCTGAGGTCCTTCTCCAGTTTGGGATCCCTCCTGAGGGTAGTCTGCATTGCAGTGAGAGTGCCACCAAGCTGAAGAACCTGGTTCTCAAGGATTTGGTCAATGACAAAAAGAACGGTAATGTCTCCGCCAACAGCATCAGCATGTATGAGCTCCTGAAAGGCAATGAAACCATCGCTCGCCTGCAGGCCCTGGCCAAGCGCACTGGGGTGACTGTGGAGAAAGTGGACCTCTCCACATGCCTGAGTGAAAAAGATAAGGACCTGAAGCTGCATTGTGAAGAGGCAGAACTCAGGGACTACCAGCTCAATGTGCAGCTTCGGGAGGTCTTTGCTAACCGCTTCACACAGATGTTCGCAGATTATGAAGCATTTGTGATTCAGACTGCCCAGGACATGGAGTCCTGGTTGACCAACCGGGAACAGATGCAGAACTTTGATAAAGTAAAAAGACTCAGTTTTCCTTTTCATGATTCTTAGTGGGCTATATTACAGATTTGGTTAACTTTTGTTGTTGTCTTATGGGTCTCACTATTCCAGGCTGGCCTTGAATTACTATGCAGACCAGGCTGGCCTCAAACTCCTTCAATGATCCTCTCACCTCATTCTCCTGACTGCTGGGATTACAGACCTGTGCTCCATGCCTGTCAGGTTACCTTTTTTTAAATTCAATACCAGGGATCAAACTCAAGACCTTGCACTTGCAAGGCAGGCCCAGTGCCACTGAGCTAAATCCCTGGCCCCTGGGTTAACTTTTTTAAAACAGATTATTTTTTCCTGTCTTTCTCTCATTACCAACTTTTCTTTAGTCAGGCATGTTGGCACATGCCTATAATCCCAGTACTCTGGAAAGCTGAGACAAGAAGATTGCAAGTTTGAGCCCACACTGGGCAGTTTAGGGATTTCCCCAAACCTTGTCTCAAAATTAAAAATTAAAAAAGAGCTGGGCATGTAGCTCAGTGCAAGCAAAGGCGTTTGCACTAGACATAGTAATTTCACCCAAAAGTAAACCAGCCAGCCCATGACTGGTTATTGAATTGTGTGCTATATTATGTGTAATCTCATTTTTTCATTTCCTGAATTTTGACAATGTTTAATTTATAGAAAAATCTTACCTTTCACGGGCTTTTCAAATCTGTTAACACTATCTGACATTGTAAGGTTTTTTTACTCTAATTCTATGATCAAGTCTAGTCTGATGAAATATGTTCCCTTTTTGAGAAGTCTTTGTTTCTTTTTTTTTTTTTTTTGGTACCAGGGATCGAACTCGGGACCTTGCACTTGCAAGGCAGGCACCAGAACCACTGAGCTAAATCCCGAGCCCATGTCTTTGTTTCTTATACATATTTAGTCTTTACCCCATATTGAAGTCACCCCCTTGTCCATGTAAAGGTAACAGTTCAGTTTCAGAAATAACATTTTTGCCACATGTTAGGATCAATAGAGAGAATGAATAAATTCAATCTTATGACTGTTCGTCTAAGACTCTATTCCAGAGTTTTTGGAAAAGGAAGCCAGAAAATGACACCACCTTTTGATTGTCCTGTGGAAACTTCTCTCTAAAGGAAACTGTATTCTTTTGCCAGATTTTCTTCACATATCCCACAGGGTTGGGTTTGGTTTGGTTTTTTCAGACAGAAGCACTTAGGGATGTGCATTGACTCTTTTAGGTCACCAGGGCACAGTTCAGTCCCCTGCCTGTGACTGCTTAGGCACAACAGTGCTGTTAGAAGGAATCATGGCTTTCACTAAGTGGCATCTTCGTGTCACTAAGGCCCCCCCAAAGGGGCTGCACTCCCACAGGCTAATGGACAGTCTTGGGCCTTCTGACCACAATATGCACTAAACTTCTCTATAAAGGTGGTTAGCTAAAAGATGACTGATTCCATCATATTTTTTCTGGTGGAGGATGCAGTACTATGTACATCAGAACTGCTGGTGCACTTCATGTTCAATTAAACTTCTTTAATAAGAAACTTATTCAGATGTGTTCCTACTCTTAGTCCCTTTCTCATTTACCTTAACTTTTTTCCTACACTTTTTTCTGTGTAGGGAACTAATCTGTACATTCATGATTTGCCCTTGGGAAAATTCAAATTCTTACTTAAATTGAGTCCTAGTAATTTCTTCCTTTTTAATCTTTATGTAGCTTCAGACTAGAAGAATTCTGTAACCCCTAAAGAAATGAAAGTTTTATATTGGATATTCTGCAAAAGGCTTGTAATCATCTCATTTTTCACTAGGAAAATATGCAGGACACACTAATCCTGCAAGCCAGGTTTTTGTTGATCTTAAATGTTGTAGCCCAAGAGGATCTGAACATCAAGAGCCAGATTTGGCTATTTAGTTCATGTTTCTAAGGCTATTTGCTCTATAAAGAGTTAGAGTGATGATCAGAGATCTGTAAGATGCCTTTTGAGGAAGTGAACTGAGTTCTAGAGACTACTGTGCCTCTCTGTCTGGTAGTTTGGATTTATGTAAATTTACCTGAAGTATGGAAGTACTTCTCTTGAATAAGTGGTTTTCTTGAGGAAGCTTTTTAAAAGGCCTCTAAAACTTCACGATGAAAAATAAATATACTAGGAGGAAGCTAATGAGTACATTATTAAGAAAAGTAACCTTATGTTAGAATTTACCCTTCCCTTTTTCCCTTCTGGCTTTTTCTGCACCATATCTACTCAAATGAATGAAAAGGGAAGCAGATCCAGTGAATGAAGTAGTAAGTCACTTCCACATCTCAGCTAGTCTGAGATGAGAACTCCTGTGCATGTGGACCTGAAAAACAACAGGAAAAAGTGACCACTTTGGATCAGAAGTGGATTGTAACTTAGTAAATTTACTGTGTACCCAACAAGCTGGAAACAGGAAGGTCCAGCTTGTTGTACAGTTTTCCAAAGACATGCTCCTGGTGATTTTTCAAGCAAGGATTTTTACAGTTCTTGAGCCCTAGACTGTTGTGTCAGCACAAGTCTTGAAGAAGTTTGATGAATTTGATCTGGAGTTAACAAAGAGAGTTGACATCTAGAAAAATATTCACTGAAGAACAAAAGAATTTCACTCTTCACCATGAATTCTGTGTTGTCCTTTTGAGAAGGTCATTGCTGATGTGTATATCATTATTGTATCAGTTCATTCACTGCCTTTTGGCTTGGAGGTACATTGCACAAGCTAGGAATGGAGAGCAAAAGGAATCACTCACTGGGGAGAGGAATCAACATTTAATGGTTAGTGAAATGAATGACTGACAATCAATCACAGCCCCTTATCCACCTTCTTTCATTAGTGAAGCCCTCTGGCCTGCACAATGGTCATCAGGTTCAGAATGTAAATTGGTTTGAAAGAGAACATTACTACTAAAGACCTAAGTGACCTTCTATAAATTTAGAAAAAGGAAGATTAGATTTATAAGGATTTTTGAATTTCAGATGTCAGTTTTATATGTTGTTAAGTTTTAAAAAGAATAATCTTAGCAGGCCGGGGATTTAGCTCAGTGGTTTCGGTGCCTGCCTCGAAAGCGCAAGGCCCTGAGTTCGATCCCCGGTAACAAAAAAATAAATAAATAAATAATCTTCAGGTTTAACACATAGTATTGATCTAGTCTCTTTAGATAATAATTTGCTAATTATCTCATTACAGGCTTCTTTCCTGTCTGACCAGCCTGAGCCTTACCTGCCGTTTCTTTCACGCTTCATTGAAACACAGATGTTTGCCACCTTTATTGATAATAAAATTATGTCTCAGTGGGAAGAGAAAGACCCTTTGCTTCGGGTCTTTGATTCTCGGATTGAGAAGATAAGATTGTACAGTGTAAGGGCACCCACCTTGCGGACATCTATATATCAGAAATGCAGCACTTTAAAAGAAGCAGGTACATTTGCCATACTTTTTTTTTTTTTTTTTTTTGGTACCGAGGATTGAACTCAGAACCTTGCACTTGCCAAATAGGCGCAGCACCACTGAACTACATCCCCTGGCCCTGCTGTACTTTTTAAAATTAAAATTCATGACATTTCTTTCACATGTTGTTGGCCTTGTGTACTACAAAGTTAATCTTTAGTTTTAGACTTTGTGGCTAGTCCTGGTACTATATCAAAGAGTTCCTGTAGTTTTCTTCCTGTCTCTGTGAGTCCCCATTCCTCCTGGACATTCCTCTCTTCCCTTAGACAAAAGAGTAAAAGCAGTAATAAACTGAATAGAGCATAACTAGAATTTGCTATGATTTTTGTCTTACTCTATTGCCTCAGTAGAAAAAAGTTGATTTCTGTCTTGCTATTGGTGCTGCCCTTTTCCCTTTCTCTTCTTCTTTCATTATTCAAGAAAAATATCAACTTAAAAGATCTGAGAGGCTGCTTAGTTTATATAACAGAAACAGTATATTTGCTGCATTGTTATCACTATATAGCTTCATTTGTTGAAATTAAATTGCTGGATTCTTGCATTCAAATGAGAGGAAATACTTGCATTCAGAATCCTGACACCCTTTTCCCCAGGTCAGAGAATCCTGAATCATGGCCAGTCCTGTCTGACAGTGCAATGTAACCCATTAAATAAATGACTATTAATAGCCAGTACCGACTATGTGCCACTCATTATAGCAAGTGTTGTAGATGCATTTTGTGTTTGATTTTAGCAACAGGACAGAAGGACACTTGTTTTTGTGTTGTTTTATTACTGTCCTTACTTTACAGTTAGAAAGCTGGGAGGTCGAGCAATTTGCCTCCAGTTGCCTATAGCTAGTTATTGGTGGAACCATGGTTCAAATCCAGGTCCAACTGATTCTAGCCACTGAAGCCTTCATCTCTTGTTAGCTGTTCCTAAACAATCTTTGCTGGAAAAAAAAAATCTTCCTTTTATTTCTTTCCCTTCAGATGTAGGTGCTATTTGAGATTATTTTTTCTGCTGGAGAAAAGGAGACCACAGTTGTAGCGCTCTGTGCTCTGCCGCTGTGGCTTGCTCGCCTTTACCACTTGACTTAACTAAATCATTCTTAGAAGGAGTGACACTTCAGCATATGTAAGGAAAGAGATATTAAATGCTATCTCTTAGAGAGATGTACAGGTCTCTGAGACATTGCTGGTTGTGTTCCTCTGCACAAGAGTAGATCCTTGAAATCCCCTTCAGGAAATGACAATTACCTTTGTGTTTCTAGAAATTGAGTAGGCAGAAAAATTGAAATTGTTTATACAAGTTCAGAGAATACTATGACTTCCAGTGCTTTAGCAGCCATGCGAGTAATATAATGCCTTATTGAGCAAATTTCACCCCTCCCTTCCTGACAGAATATTAAAAATGGAATTAATCATCAGTTTCTTAATTTATATGCTTCTATAAAAGATGTCTTTCCAATTAAGAGAATTTCTTTCAGCCTCTCATAGAATTTGGTACTCCTACTGTCATCACAAAAATTATATGAAACCCCTTTGAAAATATACCATTATAGTGTTTACATGTAAGAAAACGAGATTAAGTTAAGGTGGTAGCCTCCCAGAAAGCTAATCTGTCAGACTCTTTTTTTTTTGGTACCTGGGATCGAATTCGGGACCTTGCGCTTCCAAGGCAGGTGGCGGAACTACTGAGCTAAATCCCTGGCCCCTGTCAGACTCTTTTTAGAAGTAAAAGGAAACAACTTGCTGTGACTGTGCTTACTGCTTATAAATGTAGTTATTTCTTTTATCAAGTGAAATTACCTCCCCCAAATCCCAGAGATTGGGTATGAAGTTCTGTGTGTGTATGCATATGCTTTTGGTGGCGTTTTGCCTCTAATCAGAAAGAATTTTGATTTGCAGGTGAGCTGTTTAGGCACAGGCTATCTGCTACTGATATTGTGGCACTAGAGCCTCATGATTTCTGGGCAGAAAGACAAGAAGTGGATAAAAATATGGTTTTCTTTTTCTTACCAATCACCACAAGTTAGTATTGTCACAAACTCTTTAAAGTCTAACAGACCCCTGACCTCTCAAAACAGGCACTTGCTAATTTCTGAACGCTCAGTTTTCATTGGTGATGTTGTCACTGAAAGTAATGTTGCATTATGCTCCCTATAACAATTTTAAATACAAACCCTAGGGTAATTCATTATAAATCATGATTTTTGTTTGGAAAGTTTTTTAACTTTCCAAAGTTTTTTTTTTAACTTTCCTTAACTTTTAAGGAGAACAACTCAATATCATATTGTATGGATTTCTCTGTCGTTTTCCAAGTAATCTCAGCATTTTGGAAGGCTGAGACAAGAGGATTGAAAGTTCCAGGGTAACCCTGGCTGCATAATAAGTTTGAGGTCAGCCTGAGCTACGTGGCAAGACCCTCTCAAAGAAACCATACACATGTACAAATATGCATAAATCCAACAGAAAAATTGAAGCTCCTTTTTTATTTTTTCCTTTTGTGAGAACAAGTCCTTCTTGGCAGAAATGGAATTTTGTAAGTACTTCATGGAATGTAGACTTGACAAAGACCTCTGGGATTTCCATGCCATGGATCTAGTCATCATTTTGCCACAATCATCCATTCATTAATGTTTTATAAATATTAGGATGCATAGAAAGTATAGATGGGGTGTGCAAGGTCATCGGACATCACTGAAAATTGAATTCGCCAGTGTGTTCTGTTTACCACACTCCAGCAGTTCACCGCTTGTTATCCCTGTCTGTTGGCAAAAGATAGTTTTGCTCCTCTAATGTTGTATTTTCTCCTGAAAATTTGGTTGATCAAAATACGATGAGGATTATTTTGTTTTAGCAAGAAAGCAGATCACTCCATTTGGTCTTAGAGACATCCTCCAACCCCACTAAATTGAATGTGTTTTAAAACAAATGCTGAGTAATTCCTGTCTGTCCACTCTTCATTCTTCAGAAGGCTAGTTTCTTATCCCCTGGACATTTTCTAAATGCCTGCTTATCTGACTGCTCTGCTACCCTCTTGATCTAATAAACATTCCTAAAGACACCTCCTGATGGGAACGCACCTGTCGCTGAAAGTAGGGGGATGGACTTCACACAGTCCCTTGTTAGACATGAGTTAGGCGTGAGTGTTTAAGAATGTTTGCTTCTTCCTTCTCTTCACATTGCCTTTCAGCTCAAGAAAAATATTTTACGGCTGGGGGTTTAGCTCAGTGGTTCTGGCACCTGGCTTGGAAGCTCAAGGTCCCGAGTTCGATCCCCAGTACCACAAAAAAAAAAAAAGAAAAGAAAAATATTTTATTTGCCATCAGTTTTCTTTAATGTTGTACTTAGAACCATATTTATGTTAAGAATACTGAATTTCCTATTTTAAGAAAACTGTCTCAATACTAAATTACACTTTTTTTTTTTTTTGTACCGGGGATGAAACTTGGGTCCTTGGCGCTTGTGAGGCAGGTGGTGAAACCACTGAGCTAAATCCCCAGCCCCCTAAATTATACATTTTTCAATTTCACTGCCCAGCTTTTGGAAAAGGCAGAAAATACCATGAAAATTAATCATCCAATATTTATTTAAAGTTAACCTTTCTATATTCACATTTTACTGATCTCTGAAGAGCCTCTGTAAAAATATTTCAGGATGTTGGGATGACTGAGTTCTCTTTGTGAATGGAAGAAGTATTACTTTTGAAATGTTAGCATGAAATATCTCTAATTTGCTTTTTTAAATTTATTATTTTTATTAGTACATTTGCAGTACATAATGATTACATTCATCATAGGTCTGATTTGTTATAAATTTAATTCATAGCCCAATCCATCGAGCAGAGACTGATGAAAATGGATCACACTGCAATCCATCCACATCTGCTGGACATGAAAATTGGTCAAGGCAAATATGAGCAAGGGTTCTTTCCAAAATTACAGTCCGATGTCTTGGCAACAGGACCTACCAATAACAAGTAAGCATATTTTTCACTTGAGTAACTAATTAAAGGAATGAATGAAGGATGGCATACTCCACAATTCTAATGAGGCACTCTGTAACCATTAGACATCTCTCTGTCTGATTACTTTTTTAAGACTCCACTAATTCATTTCAAATATGGATTGACTAGTATTTTTCTAGGTAAAATATATTCATTTCATGCAAACATTTTTTTAAATTCCAATCTTTGGACATAAGTGGGTTAATTCTGTCATATATAAGTAAAAAACAAAGACTGGCCCAGCGTGGTGGTACATACCTATAATCTCAGCTATTTGGGAAGCTGAGGCAGGAGGATTACAAGTTTGAGGCCAGCCTAGGCAACTTAGTAGAACCCAGTTTCAAAATTTAAAAAGGGCTGGAAATGCAGCTCAGTGATAGAGCATTTGCCTAGCTAGCATGCATGAGGTTCCTGATTCAGTCCCCAATACAACAGGAAAAAAAGATGAGTTTGGTTTTGTTTTGTTGCGCCCAAAGAAAAGTACACTTGTAGTTTTTTTGTTTGTTTGTTTGTTTTGGTTTTTTTTTTTTCGGTCCCAGGGATCGAACTCGGGACCTTGCCCTTGCAAAGTAGGCGTCGAAACCACTGAGCTAAATCCCCGGCCCAGTACACTTGTGAATAGCTACTTTTTTTCTTGGCAATGCCAGGGTTCAAACCAAGGGTCACATTTCTCACTTCTGTATTTAGATATAATGCCAGTAAGTCTGCTGGAACTCAGAGCTGCTCTACTTTTGCCAGCTATACTGCTTTCCTAGGACTGCCATAACAAAGTACCAAAAATTTGCTGCCTTAAAACCCTGACATTCTCTTACAGCCCTAGAAGTGCAAAACCCAAAATCAGGACCCTGGCAGGGTCCTTGTCCCTCGAAGACTTCTCAGGGTGACCATTTTCCTACCTCCTCCAGCTCTCAGTGGCCCCAGTAGCTTCTTGGCTCTAACAGCTCAACTTGGGCTCCATCTGTATCTCCACACAGCTGCCCTCCCTCTGTCTGTGTGCACATCTCCCATTTCTCACAGGGACACCAGTCATACTGGACTGTGGCCCAGTGACGCTTCTTAACTTGAGTATGCCTACAAAGGCCTAGGTGCAAAGCAAGCTAGACTTCAGCATGTCATTGTGGGGGATGCAGCTCAACCTATACACTACTCTTGGTCTGAAGTATCAAATACAAAACTATGACAAAGCAAGCATAAAGATAAACCCTATTATTCTTTACAGTAGATGAGTCCTTTCATAAAATATCTGAATATGGTTAGACCTGGAAAAAAGAGGGCTGGAGATTCAGCAGAGCCTTAAGAGTGCTTGCTTTATGTGTGTGAGATCCTAGGTTTAATAACACAACACTCTGAAAAGGGAGGAAGGAAAGGGAGGGGAAATTGAAATCAAGTGCAGTATTTGGGCTTAGGGGAGTGCTTGATTTTAAGTGAATACTAGTGTTCTGTTAACAAGTGAGAAGGAGCAGAGTATTAATGGGGATGTGGTCTGAGTAGGGGAAGAGTGACTTCTGATTAGGTTAGCAGCTCTGGAATTTGCTTTATTCTTCACCACTCACCAGCCTGGGAACCTTGACCCAGGTGCAGCGGGTCACCTCTGCAACAGAAGCCGATGGCCTCTGCAGGTCTGCGATCTCCTCATTCAGTCAGAGGCTCAGAGGAGGGACACACAAGAGAGCCAGGCAGGCCACGGAAATGAAAGACTGGGTGTGCAGAACAGAGTGGCATCCACCCGCCTGACTTTCCACAAGGCACATAGAGAGCCATGGAGGGGATAAAAGAGGTAGATTATGCCTTTGACCTAAGTAAGAAGTGTGAAGCTCTTGAAAGGTGGCAGGGAAGTGTGACATCCCTCCTCAGGCGATATGCTGAGCTGTTGTGGGATTTTTGGTACTCATCTCTTTCCCAAAATGATTGTCATGACTGTTCATCAGAGCAGAGGAAACTGCAGTTTCCTGCTGTTCACATGCAATGGTAGCAGTTGATTTAATTTAACAAATACTGTGCTAATCTAGGCACTTTGTGCTAGAAGGTATTTCTGAAATGATAATATTTATTTGTGTGTTCAGGTTTGCCCTGCTTATGTCATTTTTTTTCTTTTTTTTCTTTTTTTTTTTTTGGTACCGAGGATCAAACTCAGGACCTTGCACTTTCAAGACAGGCGGCAGAACCACTGAGCTAAATCCCTGGCCCTTTATGTCTTGCTTTTATTTTATGTCCTGAAAGAATGGAACAGCGTTGCCATTTTTCTAGTTGACTAATTGAAAGTGTTTGTTCAAATGTGTTTTTTAATTTTGCATATTGTACATTTAATGAGAAGCAAACAAAACATTATATAAACAGTCCAGTGAATAAAATGTTACCTTTCAGGGCCAGGGATTTAGCTCAGTGGTTCCAGCGCCTGCCTAGCAAGTGCAAGGTCCCAAGTTCGATCCCTGGTACCAAAAAAAAAATTTTTTTAAATGTTACCTTTCAGATTATACATTTGCTCTTGAAAAACTCTAGTCCTTTTTTTTAGTTAAGTGATCTGAAATTTACTTTTTATTATATATTTTCAACACATAATAAATACATTCATCTTGGAGAAATGCCATATATACATACTTCATCTTGGCCATTTTTGCTTCTGCTTCCTGCTCGAATGTGGTTTTCAGTGTGTGAGAAAGGTTGACGCAGGTCCAAATATCAGAGTTTTAGAATGATAGCAAGCACATCCGAGGGAAATGGTGTATATAAATAGAAAGAAGGAGTTATAGTGCTGCACACACCACTGTTCCTTTTCCTTTCAGAGTCTTAATTATAAGCCTCTGGTCCTTACAGGTATCAGTCAGAAACTTTGGAAACTTCCACCGCTGCTTTATTTAAAGTACTTATATTTCTTCCTTCTTGCTCATTTTTTTGTCTGCTTCCCAATATACCTTTTCTCAGCTGAGTGAGGTGTTGCATGCCTATTATCCCAGCATTCAAAAGGCTGAGGCCAGCCTGGGCTACACAGTGAGACCCTGTCTCAAAAACATATCTGTATTTCTACCTTTCCTGGCAGTGGACCCTTCCTTGTGCCAAGAGAAAGGTGGTTCTGGGGTGATGCTGCTGCTGGTGGTAGTGGCTGCTGTTCCTAACTCAGTTCTGTACTAGCTTCTCTGTTAACAGCTTTAAAGCTCATCAGGCCATTCATCCTTCTTGTAAGCATACTTCTAAATATAAGCTTACCTTGTTTTACCCAGTTTATAAGTGGGGTTCAGGGAGAGTCAACAGCTTGTACCAAGATCACATAGGCAGAAAATGTTGAAACTAGGATTCAAACCTAGGCCTGCTGATTCAGGGGCTCTGTACTTTACATATACTGCTGGACTCTGTCACTCTGATGAAAGGGTAGTATGGTCCTTGGGGGTCCCCCAGTGCTGGGATGGAATCTAGAGCCTCATCCATGCTAGGCAGGTGCTGTTCCGCTGAGCTACACCACCAGCCCCAAGAAGTCTTGAGTAAGCTTAATACTGAACATGAGAGTTGAGTGACAGCCCCCAGTCTGTGATCCCTCCAGAATTAAGAAGCCTTCAGATGCCTTGCCTCTTTCTTAGAGTGGGCTCCACTAAAAAGAGCAGATCTGAAGAAGATGGGGTTTGGGAAACAAGGTATATCTTAGTGCCATGTTCCTTCTGATGAGCCACAGAAAGCATGGCTGGGATCAGAGGCCCTAGCCCTGAAGAGTCGGTTCAGCTCAGTTCAGAGTTAGGATTAGAGCCCAGTCCCTGCTCCCTACACCATGTTCGTGGTGTCCAATACACAAAGACTGTTCAAGGGTGTGGAACATCCTCAGTACCAGCAATCTTTTAAATATGGGGTGGAGGGGAGCATGGTACAGTAAAAGAATTGTGAGTTTTTTTAACTTTCTTTAACTGAATCTCATTTAAATAGGCTGTCTCAGCTTCATGAAGACAATCATAGAGGTTGATTCACTGGAGGAGGAAACAGTTATGTATTCAATGAACTCTTCCCCTCCACTGATGATGTAGCTCAGTGGTACAGTGTTTGCCTGTTGTGCACAAGACCTTTACAGTGTCCCCTCCTGGACGTAATCTAAGTGTTTATAATTAAGTCTGGGGGCCAGGAATTTAGCTCAGTGGTTCTGCCACCTGCTTTGCAAGCGCAAGGTCCCAAGTTCAATCCCTGGTACCAAAACAAAAAGTCTGGAAGAGGTAGGTTGTTAGAATTTAAGGTGCTGCTTACAAGACAGAAGCAAATAATTGGCACCTGAGCATTTGACATTGTTTACCTTGGTTTGTGATGTTTCCCTCTCCAATGAAGAATGGTCCATGCTTTGATAAATACCGAACTTAAAATTGTGCTTCAAAGGGCTGACCACCGTGCAGGTTCAAACTTTCCAAACCATGACACCAGATACAATGTTCTATTTTTCAGAAGTAAATGAATGAGAATTATAGGAATCTTCTGTCACACAGATGAGTCATTGTTTTTCTTTTATTAAAATATCTTAATTGTTTGAATCACTTTGATATGGCTACTAGACTATTTGTCTGATAGTTTTTTCTTCCATTGCTAGCATTGGGTTGCTCATTCATTTGGATGGCGAGTTTTTGTGGTACCCTGGTGAGGACTATCCTATTCATCATGAATTTACAGTGAACATAACAAAGATCTCTGCTCTCACCAGGAAACAGATTTTTTAAAATCTTACTATGTAAAATAGTACCATGTCAGATAGTGTAAGCGTTGTGAAGAAAGTACAGCAGAAAAGGAAAATAGAGCCTAGCAGGAAGGATTTCAAATATTACAGCTTTACTTACTAGCTTTTTAAACCTTTGTATGTCATCTTGAGGTTTCCCATCTCAACACTGAACCTGACCCATTATATTTTCAGGTAGATTATAATCTAGAAGAGAAAAGATCTCAGAACTAAGTACAGCTTAAAGTGATTTAAGAGCATGCCTGTATACCATAAATCATTGAAATGTTAGAAGTTAATACGTTGTTTATAAGATGAAAGCAAATAAACAGTCTTAGGTATGTCAGCGATTGTGACCATCATTGTTAAAGTTACACTCAGTAAATGAAGTTTAATACAGAGAATAAATTCATTGCTCAACACTGGGAATGTATGAACTTCATAGAAATTTTCATAAGCAGTACTCATTTCCCTACTTTGAAGACAAAAATTAAGTATTTTGTCCCATAGGGCACATAGTGAGGAGGGCCAGTTATTTTATGAGTCAGTCTTTATCCTTCTCCAAAGCCTTTCCCACATTTGCCCACTAAGGGAAATGTTCTATAGTTTACATCTTGCTCCTTCACTTTACTATCGAAGTTCATTAGCTGATATATATGTATATATTGTCTTATAACTTTACTGTTTATTTGGACTAGCCTAGCTGTTAACTCCAAATTTTTTTATCCATGAGTAAATATTTTGTTTGATTGTTTGTTTGTTTTACTAAGGACTGAACCAAGGCCTTGCTCATGCTAGAGGCATACTACCACTGAGTTACATCCCGAGTTCTTTATAATTTTTTGAGACGGGGTCCCTACAACAAGAACAGGCTGTCTCAACCTTGTAGTAGTGAATCGTTTAGACAGAGTGATGGTCACTGTGCTAGAACGCAGTCCGTTAGAGGAATGTGCTCTTAGGTGAGGTCAGAACGAAGAACTGCCCTGCTGTGAGAGTTTCATAGGCCCTAAAAAAGAGGTTAGATGTTATTTTAAACTCATTTTTCCTGTGTATTTTGGTATTGAGTCTATAAAATAAGTATTTTTCCAAAATAATTGACAAATATAAGCTACCATTTCATAGAAACATACCATGCAGTTTTGAGCTGAGGGAAATCCTAGAAGCCATCAGGTCCCAGCCTGTGACTTCACAGAAAGGCCTCATTACTTTATGAAGCTGTACCTAGGGCTGAGGATTAGCTCAGTGGTAGAGTGAGGGCATGCATGTGGCCTGGGTTTGATTGAACCCCAGCACTGCCAGTACCCCCTAAATACCTGAATACTTACCTAGGCACATCTAGGCATGTTTTATATGTCTGCTGTAATCAAGGACTAAGTTGCTATTGTATATTTAATGTATATGGGACTGTTTTTGTTTGTTTGGGGGTTTTTTGATACTGGGATTAATAAACCTGGAGTCTCACCAGTGCTAGGCAAGTGTACTACCACTAAGCTACATCCCCAACCTGTTCTAACCTTAGTTATTAAAAGGCATTAATGATGGAGATGGTTGACATACTTGCTGTCACACCAAAAACCATTGGATTGTGTGCTTTAAGTAGGTAGGTTACATGGTATTCTAATTATATCCTAATAAAGTTGTTACAATATTTTGTAGATAATTGATTGAAAAATAGCTGTTATCAGCCTTTTGTGTTGAACAGCCAGTTCTTCCTGTTGTAAAGGTAGCGAGTCGCGGCCCCTCTTGGTGTGTTTCCCTCCTCAGTCGCTGGGTGAGCCGGAATGCTACAGCGCAGCGAAGGAAGGAGCGCCTTCGGCAGCACTCAGAGCACATTGGCCTGGATAGTGACCTGCGGGAGGTGAGTGTTTGACCTGCTGCCTGGCAGGGCAGAGCCAAGACTCAGGCTCACCAGCAGCCAGGGCTCACCATGCAGGCTTTTCTGTATACTTTTAAAAACTCATTCTGTTACATTTTAAAATGTGAATCCTTTGTGCTCATTTGTAGTAGAAAACACCCCATTTCTATGTTTATTACTTCAGTGCATATGAAATAAGGCTCTAAAACAAGTCTTTCTGTGTGCTATATCAAGTAAAGCTACAGTTAGGGTAAAAAATTAAGTTGGTACCTTATGTTTCCTAAAGGAGAAACACAAACGTTTCAAGGTTTCACCTATAATTCAAACTTAGTAGTGTATTCACCTGTGTCTTGGCTTGCTGACTCCATTTTTTAAAAGTATTTTAAAACTTTTTAAATTGAAATCTTTGAACTTTATTTGTACTCTTTAAAAATAAGGCCACAGTTAACATTTCAACAATTACAAGTAAGTTTTGATTATTTCTTGTGGTCGAAAAGAAAATGCAATCAGAAAGTCTGTTGCTGGGTGTGGTGGCACACACCTGTCATCCCAGTACTTGGGAGGCTGAGGCAGAAGGATCATCAAGAATATAAAGCCAGCCTTGACCACCTATCAAGACTCTATCTCAAAAATAAGAAAAACATGTTACTTTCTAAGCTCAAATGTGTAAAAATAAAGTAGAAAACATCATTCAGAACATCTGTTGACCTTTGTTAACATTCATGTGTGACTTTAATTTTTCTTAAGAACAGAAGTATCTCCTGTTCAGTGCTCTTCTTTGGCTGCTGTGCTATTTTCTCCCCCTCCCTTTTGCTGCGCTCTTGTCATATGCATGCTTGTTATGCTTCTCTCTCTCTCCCTGTCCTTTTCTTTTTTACTTCTGTCATTGCCACTTCATCATCTTAGCCTTCCGGGGAACTTGTCTGTCAGAACTCCATGGCATTCTGGGAGTGGGAGCAGGGCCCGCCTCCTCCCGCACGGCTTCCTAAAAAGTCCTTCTCTGAATGCTGCCTGGTACGTCCTCTGCCCGGAAGTGTTCACCAGTGTTCACTAGTGTTGCTTGGTTGGGACACGTGTGTGCATGTAGCTGTAGATCCCTCCGTTACCTTGTGACGTGAACACTCAGCCTCTCCTCCTGTGTCAGGTGCTCTTAGTGTAGTGTGTGATGACACAGATGGGTAATTGTGCTGCTAACCATAAGGCCTTTGAGGCCCACTGCAGTGGGGACATGTTTGTTTGTTTTTTTAGTACTGGATAGCACATTGCTTTTCTTCTAAAGGTGAGAGACATACTGAACATGGAAATTCCCTCTGTTGTGGGGCTGAGCATTTAAACCCAGAGCTAGGTAAGCATTCTGCCAATCAAGCTGTGCCCCAGTGCTACAAATTTCCTCTTATTTAAGCATTTTGCAGGACAGATGTTTTTAAGCTTTTTTTTTTTTGCTGAGTGTTATCTCTACAGCATTTACCTTCCTGGTCAACATTTTATGTTGTTGAAAAATCTAGTCATCAACATAGAATATTAGAGGAACCTCTAATGCCATCCTGTCAGTATGACATGTTTGACCTGAAGTTCCAGAGGCGTGTCCAGAGTAAGAGGACACTGAGGCAGAGTAGCCTGTAGCCCCGGACTCACGGTGTCCAAGCCAGGAGTCTTCCTGCAAGACCACACTGTGATAACCACTCTGCACCTGAGGGCACGAGGACCACAGATTTCCCCTCTCTTGTGTGTTAGCCTCAACTTAGGTAATTCTGCAGTGGTCTTCTCTTCATAAATTCAGCATCAGTTAAAGAGATAGGTTGTTTATTAGAAAAGAAAGTCAAAGCCTATATTAAAGAACATTTAGTGTTTCTTGAATGGTAGGATATATTTTCATAGACATATCCTACTGGTTTGTTGCTTTTTGTCTTTGACAGAAATAAAGAAACAAATCTGGAGTTACTTCTGTCTGCAGAGAAATGGGCTTATAATAAAAAATTCTTCGTGAAAGGTTCATCTTCCCTCTTTTTAATTTCAAAATACATCTTTTTTTTGGTTGCCATTTTTCTCATCACTTGTTTACTTTCAGCCATTGCCCTTTTTTTTGTATGCAGAGGCAGCCTCACTTCTCAGCCCTTTGCCCCCAACTTTCCTGTGAGTGTCCCTGGGGTGTTGCTGGTTCTGTGGTTCCAGCTGCCAGACTCAGCCTCATGGCCACACTGTTGACTGATTGGTACACCTGCACACGTGTCCTGGGTGCTCAGTAAATATGGCCAAGAGAAAAACCCCCATCTGGCTGGTGTGCATTCCTGGAAATCATCACACATACTTCAAACAGTGCTTAGGTTTTAACCAATTGTTGGCTCTCCAAAATTTATTCATATATTCCAGAAGAAAAAGAAATACTAGAGCTCCTCTCCCAGTCTTTTGCCCAACCATATTTGCATTCCTTTTCTTGTAACCATTGTATTTCTTCCTAAGCTAGGTTGACACTTAGCTCTTCTTGAGAATTGAGTCTTGTAGTGGTTTTCTCAATTTTACAAGAGTGCTAATGATCACGGTGTTGAATCTGGGGGTAAAAAGGACTATTTATAAACATTTAACAGTTAACATTTGTTTCTGCCAGCTTTTTGTCTCTCATTTTCAGTACATATCCCAAACAACAATTGGAAACAGGTATAATTCTTATATAGGGGCCCTGCCCTGTTTTTCAGGTTAATTTGTCAGATTCTGCTTTCATTTCCTACATTTACTTATTTGGAAAACTAACTTCCAGAATGTTTCTGTCTACATTGTTACACTTCTCCATTGATAACAGTTCCCTCATTATCAATTTTCCATTTTCTTAGGCCCTCTTAAAAATATTTGAAACAGAAAAGCATACATAAGTGCTGCAGGAACTAAATGCTTGCAGAATTCATTGATTTTTAAATTTTCCTTAAAATCAATAGATGGAAAAAGACAGATTATTTTGCTAATGTTCCCTTTCATCATGAGAGTTGGGAAGTAGCAGGTAAACTGCTCCATTAAGTCCCTCTCAGGGGAATTTTTTATTTTTTCACGTTTAGCAGATTAGTTTTCTTTCAAAGGGGAGCTATATTAATCATACACACTCTCATGTTTAAAGAATGAGAAGGATTTACACACCTTCTTGTAATATCAAGCTTTTCCCTTAAGGTATAAGGTAGGTTTTGCATATGTGCCAATGGGATGATGTCAGATGTGCCTTTTGCATTCAGTGTTGTTCATTAAATATGATCCCAAGACAGGTGGCCTTCTTGGAGATTCCATCCAGCAGCCCTGATGCAAACATAAAGCATCTAGATGGGCTTTTCAGGGAGCCCAGAAAGAAGAGGGAGCACGGGTTCTGCACTAACCAGGTGTGGCCCCTCAGAGTCACCATACACTAAGCTGTTGCTATGATCCTACTTCTTCCTTGTGGAGCAGTGTGAGGGAGGGCCTTGGCAGCACCACAACTGGAGAGGCCTCCTGCCTCCTGAGCATGTCGGGCCCTCAGTGTGGTACCACAGCCTGTGGTGGGCTGAGTGGGCACACTTCATGTCCGTCTAGCAGATAAACCTACCAGTTGATGTGCTTGAGGTCATGATGTACATTGCGGCAGGATTCTGGAGCTCCCGATTATGCTGCTAAGACTTGGTTAGAGCAGAGGGTTCATCTGCAGAGCACCATGGAGCGGGGGTGGGAGGATGAGGTCTCCTGTGTAGGGAGAGCAGGCGAGGCAGACAGGGACCTGAAAGCCACCAGCCTTCTACAGAACCAGAATTATAATGCACATACCTGAAGGTTTTTGTCATAAACTTGATCCTGACTAATCATAGCTTCAAACAGTCCAGAATAAAAAGCTAGACTCTACCTCATTTTGAATGAGTTTTACCTGAGGAGGTTTCTGTTGTCCTCTTTTTTCAGAGGAGTTCACAGGTTGCTGGGGCGGAGTATAGGCATTCTTCCTCTGTCAGTACTCTAGAGCTAATTCCTTTGCTCACGTGTACTTACAGTGTTTTTGCATCTTGTTTGTTCCTGCATTTGTTTTGTGTAAGGTTAAGTGGAACAGAAGAATATCTGATGTTTATGCCTAAAAGTACTTTTAATTTCTAGAAATATATGCAAGAGGCACGAAGTTTAGGAAAAAACCTGAGACAACCAAAGTTGTCAGACCTCTCTCCTGCGGTGATTGCACAGACCAACTCGAAATTCGTAGAAGGCTTATTGAAGGAGTGCAGGATGAAGGTATGTATTGCTGACGCCAGACAGTGTCTCCTGTTTACTCATGTGTGGCTGGAATGGGCAGAATCCACCACCATCTGTACCTGTAGCTATCTTTGACTGTTGCGTAGACCTCCATGCTCTGCCACGCACCTCTGTGGTCCTCCATGGTCCTCAGAGTCAGTGATGTGGGAACCATGTGCAGTCTTGCTCATCTTTCAGCTACTGTTGTCCTCCCCTTCAACACTAACAGATGCTAAGCCACTCAGGATTTGTGTCTGGCCTGTGAGAGGCCTGTGTGTGCACATGCATACATCTGTGTACCCATTAGGAAGCCCTGGCTGTGTTATAGGTTAGTACGTGCTGCCTACAGTCTCCTCTCAGATAGCTGACTTTAGAGGACGCACCTGTACAAACTGACAAAACTCAGAGTATCCTCTTAGCCAGTCATTTCCTTTATTTGACAGGCTTCTTTGTATATTTAATAAATGCATCCTCAGTATTAGCAGATAGTGAAGAATCAGACAGACAAGTTCCCTGCCTAGAAGTTGATTCTTTCTCAGTGTACATTTTAAAGAGCAGCTAAGACTAATGCAGATTAACTTACCTAAAGCTGATTTCCATTTCCTTTTTATTTTCTGGTGTGTATGTGTGAGCAGAGAAGGAGAAAAGAAGAAAAAGAGGAAGAGAAAGAGAGCCTTGGTTCTGTCACAAACCAAGAAGCTCTCAGAAACCATCTTTGTCCTGTGGTTCCCACCTGAGTGGTCAGACTGAGCTCAAGGTGCTAGGCCATGGAGGGCGATTGTGTGCAGTTTCAGACAGTGTGTTTTCTGTACCTGCTGTACTTCCCCAATGTCATAGAGGATGATAACCTAAAAATTATTGCATATATGCATTTTTTTTCATTATAGGAATGCTTTACAAATATTATATCATTTGCAGGAATGCTTTACAAATATTATATCATTTGCAGGATTTGCCAAATCCTACATGCCAAGGTCAGAATAACTTACATCCAAATTCCATTCCCACAGTTAAAACCTTACTAGAAGGACAGTGTTCTAATTACAACCATATATTTTGTCTATTCTGTTCCTAACTTGAGAGTGCTTTGTCTTGTCCTTTATAAGCCTTGTTTACATTAATTTCCATAGAAACTGCACATAGCCCTGCCTTTGCACATAGCTTGCCTTTACCCCAATTGATTGCCAATAAAAGTTAGTGCCTCAGGCTGGGGATTTAGCTCAATGGTTCCGCCGCCTGCTCCACAAGCACTAGGACCTGAGTTTGATCCCCAATAACAAACAAAAAAAAAAAGTTAGTGCCTGAAACTGGCCAGGGCCTTTGTCAGGTGCACTGGCATTGGTCATCCTGGCACCCAGCTTTCTCTCTTTTAGTTCTGTCTTTTAGTGTATTTTTTCCTCAAGCCTGTGTCCTATACTGGGCAGAGTACTGGAACCTAACTGCAGGGGTCTCCAGTAAAATTGGCACCCAACATGGGGCACAAACCCACAACTCTGAGATTAAGAGTCTCATGCTCTCCCACCTGAGTTGTGTGCATGTTCAGACGGTGTGTTTTCTACACCTGCTGTCCTTCCCCAGTGTCATAGAGAAAAGTTCTTGTATATAAGCATTTTTTCATCATAGGAATGCTTTACAAATATATCATTCTCTTTAGTGACCCTGCATTTCTCTGACACAAAAGTAGAATACAGATACTACTGCAGTCAGTTAACCACAGAGATGAAGACATTGCCCAAGGTGATCAGAGAGCTGTGATTAGAAGTAGAATGAGGGGAAGCCAGGTCTCCTAGTCTACTTATTGGCTCACTGCTTTGTGGATTCCCCACTGGGTAACCATGAGTGTGTGATGTTTATAGACCAAGCGCATGCTGGTAGAGAAGATGGGCCATGAAGCCGTGGAACTTGGCCATGGAGAGGCAAACATCACCGGCCTGGAGGAGAATACCTTGATCGCAAGCCTCTGTGACCTGCTGGAGAGGATATGGAGCCATGGCCTGCAGGTCAAGCAGGTAATACTCGTAGGAATGCTGGAGACATCACAGCTAGGAGCTCTGTTAGCTGTGTGGGGCACAGTGGTGCACACTTGTAATCCTACCTCCTCAAGAGGCTCAGGCAAGAGGTTCAAAAGTTCAAGCCCACAGACCAGGGATTTAGCTCAGTGGTTCTGCCACCTGCCTTGCAAGTGCATGGTCCCAAGTTCGATCCCCAGTACCAAAAAACAAAAAAAAAGTTCAAGCCCAGCTTGAGCAACTTAGCAAGACCCTGTCTCTAAATAAAAAATAAAATATAATAAAAAGGGCTAGGGATGTAGCTCAGTGTGAAGGCCCTGGGTTTACCACCCCTTCCCCCAAAAAGTGACAAGGAAAAAAAAAATCTTAAGAAAGGCTATGTTCCTTTGTCACAAGATGATGAGAACTGTGCCACAGGCATTTTAATTCTTGAAAAAGAAAGCAGCCTATGATCAGAAGGTGGTTTGGGGAAAGGATAAAACAGCATATTTAGCCAGGTGTGGCACAGGCCTGTAATCCTAGCACTTGGGATGCTGAAGCAGGAGGATCGTTGTGAGTTTGAGGCCAGCCTGAACTACATAGTGAAACCCTGTCTCGAAAAAAACCACATTTATTACAGAGGCTGTATCCTCTATAGATTCATTATCTGCTTCTGCACAGGATAAAAGTCTACTAGCCATCGCCAACAGCTCTTTATCCCTTTATCTAGTGGGAGAATTTAGTCTCTTTGTTTTTCCTCTTCCCAGGCTCCCTGTCTGATCTGTTTCTGATGTGGCTCTCCCTTTGTCTTTGCTCGCTCCAGTTTTCTTCCGTGGCACGCACATGTCCACATGGTTTATGGATGGATATGTACAGATTAATTCTGTGCTACTGAAGCTTCCTGATCCCAGGTCACTGACCTGGCCCATATGTTCAGCTGAGTAGTAGAACCTGAAGACCTGCCCTTCTGGCCTCTGGTAGCTGCTTCCCTTCCCTTTGCCAGGCTCCTGCTGGGCTTCTGAGCAAGGCAAAAGGTGCCCCGTAGAACACATGGAATACACTATTCAGAGGGTCCCACAGGGCTGGAGTGTGGCTCAGTGGTACAGTACTTGCCCTTAGTGCACAAGGCCCTGGGTACATTTTCTAATGTGGCTTTTTGTTTGTTTGGTTGGTTGGTTTCAGTTTTTTGAGACAGAGTCTCAATACATCATTAAAGCTGGTCTTGAACCCAATGTGTAGCCCAGGCTGGCCTTGAATTTAGGGTGATCCTTCTCCCTCAGTCTCTCAAATGCTAGAATTACAGGCATACACCACCATACCCACCCTTTAATTTTTTTTTTAAGTTTATTTTAATATGGCTGCAAAAAAACATTTCTAGAGAATGAATGATTTTTTTCATTGTCTTTTTATTGGGAAAATTCACTGTGCCTGGTCAGTGAACGTGTTCAAACCCTTAATCTCCTGAGCCATAAGGCCATATTTACCACATCCTGGCTTCTGTGGGTCCAAAATCAAACTTTATTAAGGTAGGGGAAATATTCCAGAGCAGTAATGGTGAACGTTTTAGAGCTTTCAAGGATAACAAACAGCCGGCTGTGGCATGCATGCCATGGGTCCGCCAGGACTATTCTAGAGTAACATGGCAGTGTTTACATATCTGGTCAATGACACCTGAATCCTGGCTGCTATGATGAGGAGTGGCTGAACGTGCATCCGGGCTGGATGCACATGAAGTACACCTGACTCGGTCTGAGTGCAGGCCCAGCCTGGCCTGATCAGCTCCCTCTCCTTGCTCCCCTGGTTATTCCAAAGCTGCTGTACTGTACTGCTTTGCTCACTGCCTCTGTTTACAGCATTCCTTTTCCTGTGTTTCAGCTTTAGTATTAGGACTGAGCTCCAAGACAGTTCCTGTGACCAGTGACCAAACTGAGTCATCTTCCTAGTAAGAATACTCTTTAAGTTTTTCCCTCAAGTCAATATGAACTTTTTTTTTGGTACTGGGGATCAAACTTAGAACCTTTTCCTTGCGAGGCAGGTGGCAGAACCACTGAGCTAAATCCCCGGTGGGTCAGTGTGAACTTATACTCAGTTGTAATTACAATTTAGTATTTTAAATTCAAACAGATGAAACTCTTGAATTCAGGATAATTATTACAAGCCCAATTAGCTGACATCTAAGAATTTACTGTTTAAAAATAAAAAACTACTCTGACTGTGGTATGTTACATGTATAATTCCACCACTCAGGGTGCTGATACAGGAGGATGCCTTTGAGTTCCAGGCCAGCCTGGGCTGCGTAATTAGACCCTATCTCAAAAAAATAAAAAAAGGAGCCAGCTATGATGGTACCTGCTGTAATCTTGTCACTATGGGAAGCTGAAGCAGGTGGATCTCAAGTTCAAGCTCAGCCTGGGCAATTTAAGGAATGGCTTAGTAACCCCTGTCTCAAAAAAGGGGCTATGTATGTAGCTCAGTGCAGAGGCACTGGGTTCAGTCCCCAGAAACACACACACACACACACACACTCACTCACGGTCTATTTATGAATTAAGAAAAAGATCAATATAATCCAAAATTATAGATTTTTATATCTACTTTTTCTGGATACTTTTCATACAACAGAAAAATAAATCTTATGGTACTAGCCAGAAATTGTTTCTCCTTAGGAACTTTAAAGCAAACTGGCCTTTTTTTTTCCTGAGAGAGAGGGGCCTCACTATGTAGACCAGGCTGGGCTTGAACTCAAAATCCTCCTGTCGGCCAGTGGAAGGACCTAAGTTTGATCCCGGGTACCAAAGAAAAATAATAATAATTAAAAAAAGAAGTCAGAAAATGAAGTGGATGGGGCCAAGGATTTAGCTCAGTGGTTCTGCCCCCTGCCTCATAAGCGCAAGGTCCTGAGTTCGATCCCCAGTACCCAAAAAAAGAAAATGAAGTGGTTAGTGACAAGCTATGGCTTCACTGGTATTCATTACTGCCTAGGATGCTGGGAAAGGCTACCAGATTTTCAGCCAGTAACTTCCTGGTAGATGTTCTCTTGGATGTTCGGTGTTTTCTCATCCATCTCGGTGTCTGCATAGCACTGCTCTGACATTCCAGTGAAGACAGCATCAGTGTCCTGCTGAGCAAGCTCCCAAGTCTCGATGTTGAAACACAGCGTGGGTTCAGTCCCCAGAACCACACATACATGACATACATATGCATCACACAGACAGAAATGGATGTCATGGAACACCAGACTGCTGGATGAGCAATTAAGCATGGATGGTCTTGAAGAGAGATCGTGTCTTAGTGAATTATTCATCTGCATTGTTCTTTCAGGGGAAGTCGGCTTTGTGGTCACATTTAATCCAGTTTCAGGACAGAGAGGAGAAACAGGAGCACCTTGCGGAATCGCCAGGTGAGAAATCGTGGGAGTGGCATCAGTGTGGGAGTGGTGGTTCTACAGAACAGGGAGCATCTGAGCAAGATGCCTTGTTTCCGTCTCTGTCTCTCTCAAGCTAACACTCAGCCCATCTTGCCAGTCACAGGACAAAGCAGAAGAGCAGTATTGTTCCTTATCTGTGCGCCTGGGGAAAGTCACTGCACCTTCCTGATCTGCCTTCTTTATCTGTAAGAGAGAGAGAATAGTATTAGCTATTAACTCACATACATGAGAGCCCCCTTGAGATGTCAAATACCATACACATATACATTACTCTCACCAGTATTAGAGGGTGCTATACACTGATTTTTTTTATCTTAAAAGGTTTGTGATCATGATTAATAATCTTTTAGGGGAAAGTATGTATTTATGACTCAAACTTCAAGAGTCAGATTATATTTTGTTTTACTTTATTTTATAGACACATATTATTATTTTATAGACAACATATACTATGTTGCCTAGGCTGGTCCTAAAGTCCTGGGTTCAGCTTCTAAGGGTAGCAGCAACACGAGCTGCCACCACACCTGCCTTAGGAGTCAGATTCCTCTTTAATTTGGACCCCACATGTTAGGCGTGTCATGGTTCTTCGGCAGACTAGTTATATTGGGGTCCTTGTATTTGTGGTACTGGGTTCAACCCCAGATACTCTCCTTACTATGTATTGTTTCACAACAAGGAGCTTGCCTTTTTTTTAAGGTGCTGAGGATCAAACCTAGGGCTTTGTACATGCTAGGCAAACACTCTGCTACTACTGAGCTAAACCGCCAGCCCAGAAGTTGCTTTTATGTAAAATAAATATTTAGTTCACAAAAAGTAGAAGTAACAAGGGAAAATAAAGCTGGAGATTTAGCTCAGTGGTTCTCCCACTTGCCTTACAAGCACGAGGTCCCAAGTTCGATCCCTGGTACCAAAAAACAAAAGCCCAGGCATTTAGCTAAGTGGTACTGACGCTTGCCTCGCAAGTGCAAGTTCCTGAGTTCAATCTCCGGTACAAAAAAAAAAAAAATGGAAAATTAATAGAGCTGCAGTGTTTTATATCAAATCAGCCATTTAGGAACCTTTTCTAAAATAATGGCACTTTGGAGGCTGAAACAGAAGGAACATCCCACCCACGTTCGAGGCCAGGCTGGGCTACATAGTGAGTTCAAGGCCAGCCTGGAATATGTAGTCTGACCATGTCTCAAAAAATAAAAGTATGGATTATATCAGACATTGAGAAATGAAAAAAAGTAAAAATTGTAAAAACTCATAACCCAAGTACTTAATGGGGTATTTGCTGTTGCAAATCTGATTTGAAAATGGATTTAATCAGATAGCTATCCTGGGAATGTAAGTTTGACACCACCTTGCCCTAGAGCGCCTCTGAACAGAATGCCATGCCCCACACCTGATGCCCCAGGTGTAACCTTATTAAAGACTCATGTTAAGTTTAAAAGCATTCTCTAGTGTCCACCTTCTGTTCCTCCTTTTCTTTTCTTTCTTTTTTTTTTGGTGCTATATTTGCCTCAAAAGGCCCTCTGCATTATAAGAACAGGAGATAACTGAGCCTGGAGAGAGAGAATTCAGTAGGAGTAACCAAAACATTACATGTGGTGTGTTCTGTGATGGAGTCTCACTCTTACGAGTCTTGTTAGTGTAGGGATGGCTTCTCCAACAGCGTGCCCACAGGATAGTGCTGGGGAAGATTTCACAGGCTGGTTACAGACAAGGCGCCAAACCAGAGGGTCAGTCACTCACCCACAGAGATGTGTTACGTTCTCCAAAGGGTCTGAGAAAGTTGAGTGGTAGATCAGTAAGGCATGGATACTGTTCTATACTCTAAAGTAATAAATAGGCTGGAAATGAGGAGAAAGATGCAGAAGCATTCAAAGAGTTCAGCACTTTAACAAATGCATGGCAACATTAAAGAGAACATTGCATATTGGAGAGAGATTGCACTGAGCAGGGGGCTAGCAAACAGGTTCTAGAACAGGCTTTGGGAGAGCATGCTTATGCCTGTGAGTGCTCTTATTGTGGATGCTGCTGCTTTGTTAAATGTCAGGCTTCTCTGTCATTTTCATTGTGGTGCTGGGAATGAGCCCAAGCCATGCACATGCTAGGCAAGCACTGTACCCCTGAGCTCCACCTCTGCCCTGCTTTTACTAAGCATCTCTCATGAGCTCTAGTTCCCTCTTGCTGTCCTGTCTCCAGCTATCCCTTTGACTAGCTGTTTCTCCAACTCCTCTCTTCAGCCACAGCATCTGTTTGTCCCTGTCCTAGCCTGTGTCTTACCACTTGTTTGACCATCTTTCATGCTGTCTGATCAGCATCATTCTCTGAGCCATCTTACTCTTCCCTCTCCCCAGATACACTTCACTTGTAACACACACAAGCAGTGGTGTTCTCAGACGGAAAATGAACACATTCCCAGAGCATCAGGGCAGACTGGACTTTTCGTGCCACATCACACATGCCCTCCCCACCCTGCCCCAGCAGAGGGCCCTTGGGCCACACACCTGGCATGCAGGTTCTCAGAAGCACTGGTTCTCTCCCTTTGAAGCCCCTTAGTAATTCTGCAGAGGTGGCAGGTGTTGGCCCAGCCTTTGTTCTATGCCTGTTTTCCTCAGGGCCAGCTGCACATAGATTTGACCATTGCAGATTGTATCCTGGTCTCCCAAAGTAGAATGGATCTAAAGACTGAAAAAATAGCACATTTAAACCACAGCAAAACTCTACACCCTAAGGTCTAATTGTACTGGTGAAATTTTCTAGGTGACTTTATTGCAGTTTAGTTTTCAGGTGAGAAAAATGGAAATGAAGAAATGGCATCTCATTGAAGTGACACTAAGCAGGTATCACAGATGTGCCAGTAATTGGCCGGTGGCCACTGCTACAGGAGAATCCTCTTTCCTTCTCCATCAATGTGAGCTGTTAGTCTTTTTCTTTTTTAGAACATTTGCTGTACAAGAAGTTTACATTCATCTTAGTGAGTAGGTTGTGTACATAACACATTGTTCTAACTTTTCAGCTTACTCGCTTTATGATATGCATATTTTGGTTTGGATTCTGAACTTTGAAGTAGAAACATACCAAAATAAAGAGCCAAAACTCTTAGTTTAAAAAAAAATTCTTCTGGGATTTAATCTATGTGATTTCAATTTATGAGTGCCTCAGTGGGAGGATTTCCTCATCCACCCAAGGCCCCGGGTCAGTCCCAGGGTTGAGGGGTCAATAAAGTGGCAACTGAGCTTTTCTGTTGTCTTCTAAGTTCTAATACTTTGCTGATATCTTTCTACATAGTTGCCCTCGGACCAGAAAGAAGAAAATCTGACTCAGGAGTTACGTTACCAACACTCAGGGTCTCTCTTATCCAGGATATGAGGTATTTTAGATTACTGTATGATAATAATGAAATATTTTATTGCCTTCATCTAAGTGTCTTAAATTATTATGGCCATATGCACGTTTTGCTTATGTGTCTTGTCGAAAGCATTTTAATAATTTATTTTACTTTCATACTTTATATTTTTGCCTGACGTTGAATCCAAAGGGAAGATGCAGCTGAAAAGAGTTCTAAAACAACTCTAAACAAACTCTTAACTTTAAAAAAAAAATCCTTATGTGGGGCCTGGTGGCACATGCCTGTAATCCCAGCACTTGGGAGGCTGAGGCAGGAGGATCTCTGAGTTTGAGGCCAGCCTGGGCTACATAGTGAGTTCAAGACCCAGCCTGAACTACATCATGAGACCTTGTCTCAAAAAACAAACAGGACCAAGGATTTAGCTCAGTGGTGCCACCGCCTGACTCGCAAGCACAAGGTTCCGAGTTTGATCCCTGGTACCAAAAAAACCCAAACAAACAAACAAACAAAACTCCCTTAAATTCCTACTCTCTACCAGTATAAACCAAAAAAATAACAAGACTGGGCACAGTGGTACACACCTATAGTCCCAGCACTCAGGAGGCTAAGGCAGGACCATCAATAGTTCAAGACCAGCCTGGGCAACTTAGGGACTTAGTGAAACTCTGTCTCAAAATAAGAAAATTTCTAAAAGGGCTGAAGATATAGCTCAGTACAAAGGCCCCAGTACTGCAGGCCCCGAGTAGTGAGGGATGGGGTGGGGAGTATCTTCAGAAGGCATTAAGACATTTAAAATAGATTTTTTGTTTTATTGACGAAGATAAAGCTTTTTCCTTTTAAACGTTTTAGGAACAGTACTTAGCCAGCTCTTAAGAATGAGTGTGGTAACGTCTATGCCACCTGGGGCTTGTCTTCTATAGTGTGTTTTATTATTAATTATGGATGTTTATTTGATAATTTCCTTGTGCCTCAATTTTCTGATCTATCGATTAGAGACAGAAACAGTACCTGTCTCATAGGATTGTTGTGAGAATTACGACTCAATCTTAGACAAAGATTAAATGAGAATTAAATGAGAGTTAAATTAGTCCAATAAAGAGTTTAAAGAAATATTTGTCTCATGCTAAGAGTTGGCTACATGTTGGCTGTCAAGTGAATCAACTTACATATTTTTTTCATATTTATATTTAAAATGTCATTATTCCTTGGTAGATTAAATGTAGCTTATGATTCTTTCCGATGGTCAGTGTAACTGCACAGAAAATGATCCCAGCTCTCTTCAGGAGAACATAAAGCCTGTGTCTCCAGGGATTTCCCAGCAGCTATCACCTCAAGGTGGTGACTGTTGAAAGCTTTGTCGCTGTGACCTCAAGCTAAAATTCGGAAACCCAGTGAAGAAGTGGTCATATCACTTAAGGGTACCCTGTTCCTTCCAGTGTCCTGTTGTTTACTTTTGCACACTTCAGGTTGATTTTAGGAGAAGCAGAAGAGGTGCTTCTTGCATTTGCTCTCTACTTTGTGAAAGGCAGTAAAGTGTGCTGGTTAGGACCCTGGGCTTTGTGGTGCACACCTACAGTCCCAGCACTACAGGTTGAGGCAGGACCATCACTTGAGCCCAGGTATTCCAAACCAGCCTAGGCAGCACAGCAAGACCCTGTCTTTTTTTTGTTGTTACTGAGGATCAAACTCTGGTCCTTGCGCTTTCGAGGCAGGCAGCAGAACCACTGAGCTGAATCCCCGGCCCAAGACCCTGTCTTAAAAAAAATGTTTTTTTAAAAAAAAAGACCTTGGTTCTGTGCTTAGCCTACAAGGGCTGGTATTTCAGCTCTGCCACTAACCAGCTTGGTTGCCTGGGCAAGTGTTTGCACTCTGTCTCACCTATAAAATGGTGACAATAAAATACTTCTCTCAAAATGTTAGTGTAAAACAGAGCTCATAAATGTGCATTGCCCAGAGTAGGCCTGGGAATGTATGTATGTGTGCCAGTTCTTCACACTTCACGAGTCACCTATGTGTCTGCCCTTAGTCCTGTTTCTGTCTGTGTGTGTGTGTGCTTAAACACACACAGAGGTGCTTTTTTAATCCATGAATTGATAATATGTTTCTAATTTAATACCACAGAAATCATTCTAGCCTCCCCCTTTCCTTATTTGTAATGTCTTTGTCCAGCCACTAGAAACCTGGCTCTAATCATCTACAATGTATTTACTTATTTATGCAACCCTGGTAACACAGCTAGCCTTTGGGTGGGTGAGTTGGTTGGTTTGGGCAGGGGTTTTATTGTTTGTTTTTCTTTTGGTTTGGTTTTGTTTGTGTTTGAGGTTTTTGAGACAGGCTCTCGCTAAGTAGTCAAGACTAGCTTTGCACTTGGAGTCCTCCTGGCTCAGCTTCCTGACCACTGGGATTGGCAGTGTATGCATCGGTTGTTTTGGGTTGCTGACCCATACCCCTATGAGAATCAAGTCACTAACCACAGCACAGTGTTTGTGTCCAGCTCTGGCATTCTTGTCTTTAGCCTTTCAGTATCCAATCAAGATAGTGTTTTCCAAAGCTTTGATTACTCCTTCTTTTTTCCTCCATTCTCTTCAGTGTGGTTAGTTATTTATTTGTAGCACACTTAGGTTCTTTTCGTTAGTTCATATTCCATTTGGGGCTTCTTCCCCATCCTGGTTGAGTTTTTCCTCATTCATGTAGAGTAAGTTCAGATTGTTAGAATGTGTTTCTCTAGACTTGGCAGGAGCACAGAGGTGACACAGGAGCACTCCACTCCTGTGCTCCTCTCTGTCATCAGTCCCTCTCCTGGTGTCCTGCTGGCCGTCTCTTCACCAGCAGTGAGCACATCAGCTGCCCATACACAGGTTTGGGGGTCACTCTCTTTGCCGGGGCCAGGGCTTCCTATAGGGGCGTGATGGTTCCAGGTGGAAGCAGGAAAAACACAGGCAGTGTCCCGGGGATTTTGTGGTGCCAGAAAATAAAGTCATGCTCAGAAAATGATGTCTTTTCTTGCAGAAGCATTCCAATTAATGAATGTGTGGGAATGGAGTAGAATTGGCTGGTGGAAGTTTAAAGCCTTGTTGCTCTTAATCACCCATCGGAGTGAAACCGGAGGGCAAGGAACAGCCGCTGCCACTTCAGATCCCCATAGTGGAGGAACCCGAGTGGCTGCCAAGTGCCCTGCGGGGCCAGGTCTTGGTAGTCAGATTCCTCTGCTTTTGACCACATGTAGCAGTACTGATCCTGTAAAACAAGCCTTTCGTCAGTTCAGAAACAGGCTCTCCAAGATGGGGTGATGGTGGAGAGCCCCACCAAGGTGACAGCAGAGCTTTCTTTCATCTCCTCACGCTGAGCTGCTTTCAGGCCACTCCTTCAGTGTTAGTGCATCTGTGGTGGACGCGGTGGAGACCTCTTGGCGTCAGGGTGTGCGGCCTTACCTTGAGCAGTGAGGATTGGAGGAATCCTCACCTTCAGAGAGCGGGAGAGAGATCAAGGAGAAAGAGATTGTGTGCTGCAGAGAGCCGTCCTTACTCTGAGCTCTTGGGATCAGCAGAGGTGTTCTGCAGTGTTTATTACAGCCGGCGTGGGTCATGCTGGATATGTTTTCACATTTTTAAAGCAGAGGAAGAAGTGGTGGTTACAGAGAGAAAGACTTCAAGTAATTCCCCTGACAGCAGCGGTTTCATAGTTTATACTCTTAGGCTTTCGGTTCCTGTCTGATCCTCCTTCCCCTTTAGGAGGAAAATCATTTAGGGAAATAAACTTAGTTCTGTTGGATATAGCATTGACTTCTTCACAGAGAGTGTGTGTGTTTGTGTGTGTGTGTGTGTGTGTGTGTGTGTGACATTCTGTTGGTGTTTGGCCGCACAATATTTTGTGAGACTGTGCAATTTTCCGTATCTTACCAGTTTTTAAAGTTATCAACACAGTTTAACTTGACTTCTCTAAAGGCATGGAAATTAAGATTTTGCTATCTTCCATGTATTGTCTGGGACAACTTGAAAAATCATTCAGTGAATTAAATTTGTGGCAGATACTTAAACTATAGGACAGTCATTTTTAATATGAACTTGACTATTCAGATTGTGTATGACTTATTTTCTTGAGAATCTAGAATAATCAGTTGCCTGCATTCAGGCTGACACAAGAACACAGTAAACCCTGAGGAGTGAGTGAGTGCTAAGTGTTTGCCACAGGACATCGCCTGTGTGCGTATGTGCAGGAAGGTCTGACGTGGGACCAACAATGCAGGTAGACTCTTAGGAGGGTCTGTCGGCCTCCAAACTGCGTCCTGTCCAGTGCTCCCTGTGAATGTAAAGTCATTTCTCTGTGTCCAGTACTGTTGGTTACCGTGTAGTTCTTTCTTCCCTCAGCGTTACCCTCAGACCCACTTTGTGCTGTTTCTCCTTCTCCTAGGCATATTCAGAACATGAGCGAGATCAAGACTGATGTCGGGCGAGCTCGGGCATGGATAAGGTTGTCTCTGGAAAAGAAGCTTCTGTCTCAGCATCTCAAGCAGCTGCTCTCCAACCAACCGCTCACCAAGTAAGACATTGCCTTTTCAGACATGTCTGTTGCATGCCACGTGTTCAGGAAGCAGGCTGTGGGAGCTGACAAACCAGCATCTTCAGCATTGCCTGCTTCTGTGTGCTTCTGCAGCTTGGCCTGCACAGTGCGTTTGGCCATTGCTGGGAAAACACCCCAGACTTCACTGCCCAAGACCAGACTGCTGTGCTGTGATCAGAGCAAAAGCCTGAACCATAAGACCACACCCTATATTGTAAAACAACAACAATTTAATTTTTTTCCAGTCTTGGGGATTGAACGCAGGACCTTGTGCTCGCCAGGCAGGCATGGTACCACAGAGCTACATTCCCAACAACAATAATTTAAAAAAAAAAAAAAAGAGCAGGACATGATGGTACACGCCTGTAACCCCAGCACTCAGGAGGCTGAGGCAGGAGGACCACTGTGAGTTCAAGGCCAACCTGGGCTACATAGTATGTTCAAGGTCAGCCTGAACCACATAGCAGAACACCGTCTCAAAAAAACAAGGGAAAAAAATCTCAACTAGCAAGAAAAGGATAGAGCAAGGGTCAGCAGTAAAAGGCTTTATCTGACAGTCTTGCCAGTACTTATATTTGATAGGTTAGAGCCAGGAAACCAGTGAAGTGAGTGTCAGGTCATTGTTTCCTGGACTGACAGTTTCCCTTTGTCGAGAAACCCTTCTGGATGACACCATTTCCAGATGTGCATGTTAGAGGACTGAGTTCTGAAGAGCAAAGTTACGGGAAGAACTCCACCAGGACCTTGGACTGATGGTCTGTGGGAAACCTGTCATGATGCCCAGTGCATCTTGTTGTGATTTTGGATTTGTATATGTCACCCTTCCATTACATACCCTGGAGCATTTAAGGAGGAGTTTTAGGGTTCAAGAAGTAGATTTGATTTTTTTTAAAAATTGAGGGGCCGAGGATGTAGCTCAGTGCTGCCTCGCCTGCCTGGCAAGTGCGAGGTTCCTGAGTTTGATTCCCGGTACAGTGGGAAAAAAATTGAAGCCAAGCATGGTGGCACATTCCTGTAATCCCAGAAGTCTGGGAAGCTGAGGCAGAAGAATCACAAATTCAAGCCCAGCCTGGGCAACTCAGCAAACTAGCAAGATCCTGTCTCAAAATATAAAAAAGGAGTAGGGAGTGGAGGCTGAGAGCTGGAGATCCCCAACTGCCCCACTCATAAAGAATGCAATGTGTCATATTACCTAGGTACCTGACCTTGTTCTTTTAAAGCTTTGTTTCTGTGTCTCTCTCTCTGTCTCTCTCTGTCTCCCCCACCCCGTCTCTCCTCCCTTCCCTCTCTTTCTGGTGATAAAAAGCATTCACACTCATTGGGGCAAAAGTGCAGAGAAGGAATTGATAATCATTTATAATCCTGCTGCATAAAGAACAATATTGTCTTTCATGTTTTCTTCTGTACTGTCTTCTATTCATATTTTGTTGGATAAGATAATACTAGATTTGTGGCTCAGTACCATCCTTTTTTTGGGCGGGGCGGGGGGGGTACCAGGGATTGAACTCGGGTCCTTTCGTTTGTGCAGCAAGTGGCGAAACCACTGAGCTAAATCCCCAGCCCAGTACCATCCTTTTTTAGGTTAACATTATATCATAAACTTTCACCATATAGGAGTTTAAACTCTGAAGTCTGAATGCTTATGTTCAAATATTGCCTTTAATATTTACTACTTGAATAGCCTTGAACAAGATAATTAGCTTCTCTGTATCTCAGTGGCCATAGACCTAGGGTTAAATATTTTAATGCTGGACACCGTGGCACATACCTGTAATCCAAGCTGTTCAGGAGGCTGAGTTTGGAGGATCTTGAGCTCAAGACCAGCTTGAGAAGACCCTGTCTCAAAAATAAACTGAAAAGGGCTGGAGATGTAGCTTAGTGATAGAGCACTTGCCTAGAATGTGTGAGGCCCTGGGTACAATTCAGGACAAAAAAAACCGGATTAATACCAATAATAAAACACTTGGAAAAGAAAAGTGCTTAATCCATATGCTTAATAAAAGTGACAGCCAGGTATGGTGGCGCACACCTATTATTCTAGCACTCAGTAGGCTGAGGCAGGAGGATTACTGAGAGTTGGAAGGCAGCCTGGGCTATATAGTGAATTCAAGACAAGCCTGGACTACATAGTGAGACCCTGTCTCGGGGGGAAAAAAAGGTAGCAGTATCTTTAGTGGTATCTGTACTATTGGTCAACTCTTTCTAAACTTTATTTTTAATGACCATACAATATTGTAGCTTTTTTTTTTGGTTCTGAGGACCATGCATATCCCAGGCAAACACTTTACCATGAACTATTTTGACTTACAGATAACATGGTAGTGGACATTTGTAAGTAACTCTGCTCCCATTTCATACTTTGTCCTCAGGGCTGTATTCTGAGTAGAACCGATGAGTGAGGCATGTGACAGGCTCAGAGTAATTGTTAGCAACAAACTGCCCCGCAGCTGTGACAGAAACTATTTGCTCTCCTTTACCAGCATTGGGTGCCACTTTCACATTTCCATGAGTGTGACAGACAAATGAATTCGTGTCCTTTTGCCCCCTTACCAGTTAGGTAGAAAGTGTTTTACTAGGGGCTGGGATGTACCTCAGGGGGAGAGCATCTGTCCCCCGCCATGAGACCCTGGGTTGGATCCCCCATGCTGGGAAAAAGGTTTAACTGTAACTCTGTGGACTGTCAGTTCTTTTAAGGTAAAGTTTCTTCCGATTGTTTGGTCAGGGATTTCTCTTTAATACAGACATAATGAAAAGGATGTTATACACACTCTTGTTTTGTGCTCCTCTTACCCTTCTTAGGAAGCTTTATAAGCGCTATGCTTTTCTGCGTTGTGAAGAGGAGAGAGAGCAGTTCCTCTACCATCTCCTTTCCCTCAATGCCGTGGACTACTTCTGCTTCACCAGCGTGTTCACCACCATCAGTAAGTCGAGTCGCTCAGCTGACCAGTGCAGTGGGTGTGTTAACACCCGGTCTCTGGGAGTGGGGTGCACCTGGCACAGTTTGGGGACACTGCTGGCCTCCAGATCTCCACTGAGGGTGGCTGAGCCACCCTGGGCTGGGGTCCACCCTGAGGAAGCCCCTCAATGGCGATCCCTCCCGGCAGCCCAGCCGCATCCATGCTGAGGTGCTGCTGCCCCAGGCGCTGAGGAGTGCAGGAGATATTGTGCTCCACAGCGCCCTCCGCAGCCTGCTTTCCTCCTCAGTGTTGATCCAGCAGCAGCCTGTTGGGTGCTGATTCCTAACACAGTCTGTGATAGAAAACATTACCTACAGTGGATACAGAGAGGACTGTTTTATTAAATAAATAATATAATATGCCAAATAAAGTCAGGGAATCAGTATGTGATAACAGTACACTCATACAGCTGAACATCGCTAAACTGTGCTAATTCACAGCCCTCATGGTCTTGCTGGAGGGCATAGATCTTTGCCGGGAAGAAATGCTGATTGGTAGTGTTTTGTGTTTTTTTGGTACCAGGGATTGAACTCGGGTTCTTGTGCTTGCACAGCAGGTGGTGAAACCACTGAACTAAATCCCCGGCCCATGGTGGTATATTTTTGATAGAAAGCTGCACTGTGGCATTTATTCTACCTGCTAGTACTAATTCTCCCTTGCAGTGGATCCCTTCTCTACTTGGGAGAAGTTTTCTTAACACCAGTTAGTAACTGTTTTGAGCGGCAGATGTCAGAAACTTAAAAAGCAGTGCTCTAAACAACTCAGAGGTTCTGTTTCTGTGCCATGAGACAGGGACTCACAGGTGGCCATGTGCAGTGCTGCCACAGACCAAGGCTCCTGTCCTTCCTCATGTTTTCCAGGCAGAAAGCTGTGTTCTCCGTCCACCTCCCCACAGGAAGGGAGGAGGTGGGCTGGGGTGGGGAGGGCAGGGTCAGTGCCTGAAAACAGGCTTTCCTCAGAGTCCCACTCAGCACCTCGCACAGTCCACTGGCCCAAATTGTGAAACTAATTTGGCTTTCCAGGCTCTGCTGGAGACAGACTGGTAAAGGTAGCAGGAATGGGGGTTACAGAGCCCTCTGAAATTGCTATCCAGCTACTCTGAATTAGGTTGTTCCAGACGTAAGAATCTAAAATAAGATCTATGGTTCCAGGCGTGCAGGTCAGTTCAGATCCCTGGGGCCCTCTTCGAGTCTGCAGATCTCTCCTCTACATCTCCACTTAGGACTTGGAACCCTGCATGGGAGAGTTTCTGATATAATAATGCTGCTCTTTTTACTCAGCTGCAAAGTCAGGGCTGGGTGCTGGGCCCTTCGAAGCTCGGACCTCCAGACAGGCTTTGTCCTGCAGCCTCCCTGGGCGTCATCAGGCAGGAGCTGAGGGAGCTTCCGGCACCAGACATTCTCACGCCAACCCCTTCTGCTTTCAGTTCAGTCCACCTGGTTTGCTGATTACCAGATTGTCAAAGCATGGCCTCCCCTCTCACATTTTCCTTTAGCCAAAACAAAAGGACAGAGAGGCTGTTCGACCAACATCAAAATGGTCACTTACATAAAATTGGGAAACGAACCACTTAACCATTCAATCTCCTGCCCCAGGAGCTCAGACTGAGAGGCTGTGTCTGGGCAGCGTGTCCTGCAGGTGGTCTTTATTCAAAGACAGTTTCTGTTACCCCTATCTTTCGACCCAGTGATTAGAAATACCAAGGGCATCAACAAAAAATATTAATTCTTACTCTGTTTTTTAAACAGCATAACGTGGGTACAGTGGCATGTGCTTGCAGTCCCAGGACTTGGGAGGAAGGAAGATTGCAAGTTTGAGCCCCACCTGAGGCGGGGTTGGGGGTCTGGGAGTCTGATGAACAAAAATATGTTAATGTATTTGAGTCCTCTATTTAGAGGGGGGAAGGAGATCTATCTGTACCAGGCTTCTGCTGAAAGGGCTGCAGTGGGACAGTGCCATCTAGTGGTGGCCTTTGGAAGCGCTCTGCAAAGGCAAGGCTTCAAACCTCTCACCTTTGCAGTCCCCAGGACTCCTCTGCACAGGCTGAACCTTGGTAGCTAACCAGGCTGTAGTTTAGAGTTCATGGTGGATCCAGAATGGTGGTGCCTTTGTTATTCTTGGCATTTCATACTGGGTCATGAACTTGGGAAGGGAAAGTTCTGAAGTGAGTGCTTAAAAGCATTCCTCAAGAAAATCAGTAATGGAGTTTAACCAAGAAGTCATCTACCCATTTTCATATGAAACCAAATTGGTAACTGTGTTCATTCATACTCAGTTTTGTTTCAAAATTAATTTTAAAAAAATAAGCAGGAGCCGGGCATGGTGGTACACTCCTCTAATGCCAGCACTATGGGTGGCCAAGGCAGGAGGACCACAAATTTGAGGCAAGTCTGGACAACTTAGAGACTCTGTCTCAAAATTTAAAGGGTGGGGGTAGGGATGTAGTTTAATGGTAGAATTAAACCAATTTGAGCCCAAGGACGGGGGCGGGGGGGGGAGGCCTGGGGATGTGGCTTGCCTAGTGCAGGTGAGGCATGGGGTCAGAGCCCAGGTCCACCCAAAAAAAACAGTGACAACATTGCATAATCCAGTGTTCATGTTGTCATGAATTCTCTTGCCCTGTTGGAGGCTGTTGCTAAGTAGTAAGTGGTGATGTATGTCACTATGGTAATAGATTCACCATATACTTGTGGTAGTGTATAATCATGGGAGCCATGATGGGTGGGAACTTGCAGTTTATAACCCAACCTCGTCTTTCCAGACTGGAAGAGGTAGGCCGGGGATTTAGCTCAGTGGTTCTGCTGCCTGCCTCGCAAGCGCAAGGACCCAAGTTGAATCCCGGTACCAAAAAAAAAAAAAATCAGCTCTCAGTAATTGTCTTCTTTAAACTCCAGCTCGTGGTGATCCCTCA